GGGGGGGCGGTGGAATATGTGGTAGATATAACATGAACCTCCACGTGCACAAGGGTTAGAATTACATGAGGTCCACAAAATACAGGAAAACAAACTTATAACTAATTTTATTTAAATATAGCATTTTAGAGGGAAATCCAGTAAATGAAGTCATACGTGTATATACTAGAGGGCAAAGACTTCAGTGGGGTGCCTCCTGCACTGCAGTTGGATGAAAAAGTGCACAAAAAAATTATAAATATATAAATTATATCAAAGTATTCTTTAGGCTGTAATTTTAATTTAATCACTTTCAAAAGCATGAGCAAAAATTCTGTTTGTGTTAGCTTGACGTGAGATGTGTTGATGGCATGTAAAAAGCAACAGCTGAATAGAGAATCCCGGTTTAAAACGTTCCCCCACAAAACCCATGAGATTTCAGTGTTATCACCTCAAATCTGGCTGCCAATCATATGTTCCCCAGCTGCACTCCTCAAGGTTATCATAACTAATCATTAAAACCTGAAGCTTTCAGAGGATATCCTCTACAGTCACTGCTGAGAAATCGGTTATCTTGACAGCTAGCTGAGCTACATCACATTCAATCTGACTGAGGGACAGGCTCGGCACAGCTTCTGAGATCAGATAACAGCTGCTCTCTCGCCAGCATGGCCCTGAGCTTCTCCATCTCTCAGCCCTGAGGGATCAGATAACAACTGTTCTGAGGCCAGCGTGGTCCACAAAGTCTCCTTCTACTGGCCTGAGGGAGCTGGTCGCTGCCCGGCAAGAGAGAGGCAGGAAGGAACTGGGTGCTTATGTCATTACCGACGGGGTAATTGCACTGGAGTGCCATTGATGCTGAGAGCCTCTTAAGAGGTGTCAGGATTGATTTGGGCGCGGACGGGGCCCCAAGTCTGGCTCATGTGTGTTCTCACCTCGAGCTGACACGCCAAACGCATGTTCCCCCTCTGCTCCGTCCCCCAGGGGAAGCCATTAGCCATGCAGACATGGTAATGGTGTCATTTGAGCCAATCGAGTGTCAAATGAGACTCAACGCCGTGGCTAACTAGCCACTGGGCAATCGCGCTATCACGCATAACGCTACTCCATCAGACACCTCCATGTTACTTTTGGTCAGAGGAAAGTGTCTTTAAACATGTGCCTGTATAGTCGTTGGAAGTGAAAGTCGGTTACACAAGAAAGTAAATCAACTACTGCATGATGACAGAGGAGACAGCAAATGTTGTAAAGCTATTAATGTTTGTAATGAACACCGCACTGCAAAGCCAACAGTAATAAAATATTATCATCTAGCATACTTTGGCTACGGACTAAACCTGTGCAAGTAAATTCTTTTTAATATTTAAATAGTTGTAGAGGGTTTGACTTCATATGTTGGAGGCGAATTGACACCTTGTGGCTTGTTAACAATTCCAGTAAGATAAATCAAACACACTTCAAGCAGTTCTAATGACTGAAAATTTGTTTTTAGAAAGAACAGTGGAAATCACGAACACTTTCTATTTTGATTATATTTTCACTGTCTGTCTGCTGCATCCTATGAGGAACTACTGGCAGCTACAGCATGAGCTACAGGTGTGGTTGGATGCTAGGTGTGTGACAACATGTGTGATAAGTGACAGTTTGCTCGAAAACACCATTGGTGGCTGCTAAAAAGGGTAGCGTAGATGCTGCTAGCATCAGTTATATCAGAACTGGAAAGTATTTCTTAATTGAAAGAAGATAACGGCTCTGAAGACTTTTCTCGATGGATAAGATGTTTTCACTCTTTTTCTGACTGGCTTCGGCAAGAGTTTGACTACGTCATATGGTTTGTTGATCTGACTGGTTAAAGTTCCCCTGTGATTGATGGTGATAGACAGATGGTTCATCCTTTACCTGACCTATTACTGAAGTACCTGCCCTTTTCCAAACAGATTCCAACGAAGACTTTACAGATGGTTCCATGTAACAAACCAGCTGGCGCAGTCAGGTTACACCCAATCAGCAGCAAGACTGATACAACCATCCCTAGAGCCAGGCTGATAGCATGCTGAAAAACTGTAAATATTTTCTGACGTCAAGACATTTTTTGGAGACAGCAACAGCAAGCAGGACTCAAGATCCAGTTAACAAGAACACCCAGCTCACTGCAAACAAAACACAATCTCTCCTTGTCCAATTATGGTTAAAAAAGAGATTAAAGCCATGATGAGCAGCATCATCTGCCTTCCCATTTTGTCTCTTCCCATCCCTCTCACAGTCGCTGGATGCCTGTTGATGACCACGTAGCAGATGCGGGAAAAGCTGACTGTTCTATCCTCATATTTTACACTGACAGGCACAGGGCTGTCATACTACATCGTTGCTAAGGTGGCGAAAGATTTCTTCATCCACGTCTGCCATATGCTGAATGTATTACACACTACGTGTGTGTGACATTAAGAGCAACAGCTAGAAGGTTACATATACTAAAAGGCCATGTTTTCACACTTTCAGTACCTTTCCGGGAATATGTGTTCATTTGTCTGTGTGTGTGTGTGTGTGTGGTAATCTCCACAGGGACAGAGGTCATGTGCAAACATAGACACATGTCTGCACGTGTCGTAGTCTTTGCCTACATCAACATCAGTTAAGTTGTGAAGGTGTCTGTCCATATGAATTTGACAGCTCCCATCAAGGAACAGACAGAAAGAAAACTATCAGACAGGCCATCAAAAGAACATTTGCATGACCCGATCCTCCGCACAAGTGGCATTGTTAAATGGAAAACAATAGTCAACTGGAGCTGATTCACTTCATCTGAGAACAAATAGACTGTCCTCTTCTTTTGGAATCAATGCTGGGCTTCCCACAATACCAGAGAAAATGTAGCTCCAGGATTCCATGGAAACAAGATTTTCCTTTTCTTTCCAGTCTTCCAAAGCCCTGAAACCCCACCATTGTGGGAACTGAATGACAAGTGTTGGATTTATCATTTAAGTGAGCGCAAGATACATTTAAATTACATCCTTACAGAAGAATGAGTAACAGTGACAACTACTACTAGGACCAGATGTATAAAACTGCTAACAGTTTGGTTTTGAATCTACACAAGACAGAAATATAAAAACAAAATAGTTTTGCCAGATTTATGAAGCTGCATATTTGGATTGTTTCAACCACACAGTTAAACTTGGCAGAGATTTTACTAATCTTGTAGGTTGAATTAACTCACACTACACATTTTATTTAGCATTTATGTAAAGATAAGTTATTTTCTCTCCAGACATAAGGCACATATTAAGGCATATGTGTAAATAGTGTGCTTGTAACACTGATGTGTGTCTTACACAGAATTTGCACAGCAAAAAGGCCTCTACTCCTCTTACCTCGTTAAAAATTCCAGAAGCTATGAATGTGCTAAATTTGTTAATTTTTTTAAGTTTTCCTGCTGGACACAAGATGTCTCCTACTTCAATGTAAAGTCCATTCTCAGTGTACAGGATTGACTTTATAGGATTTAGGATTAACTATTCATAGACTTCTACTATTCGTAGGCCCTGTCCGTTAAAATCAGATTTTCAACAAGCACAAAGAAACTTTCAGCAGATGAATGTGAA